AATATATTTCGGGAACTTTTGGATTGCACCACGTATTTCCTGGGATATAACACTGTGTGGTTTGTTGAAAGTCAACCAACGTTTCAGGGGCACATATCGCCTCCATCTTCAGGGCCAAAGAATAAGCTGAGCAAGAAACCAGCATGAAAGCAGGTGACAAGCTTGATATGTTCTGTTGAAACTTTCATTCACTTTCAGTGGACTACACAGCTTTATATCCCAGAAGACAGTACTTTTCATAACCACCACTGTGAGGGCCTCAAATCCTACTTAAAGACATAGTTTGTGAAGATCTGAATTGGCTTAGCATTGCATCCAATAGCAAGTTCTGGCTTGGATGAAACTTGAATTTTACATTCTTGTATAACCAGAATGTTATTTCAGGATTACTGCGTGTTACACATCATTGTCAGAACCCTACAGAACTTACAGAATTTATTTGTTTAAACTGGTATAATAAACACATAAGTTGCCTCACCAGAATTCACAAACATAATGGAAAATATACAAAAAAAATACAGCTTTCTTGTTTCTTTCATTTAAGTTTCCTCTTTCCTACCCTAGAAAGAATATCAGTTTTGCCAATTTACATAGCAGTCATGACTGTTATGGCATTTGCAAGTATTCTGATACAGTTTCTGGATGTAGTTCAAATTTACATTGAAATCTTTTCAATCACATCAGTAGGCTTTAATTTCTCAATCTGAGTGTTATTCATTCTTTGAAGTTTCAGCTGCTACAAACTGTAATATTGTCGCGTATCGGGCGTATAACGCGACAAATAAGTTCACGCCGTATTTTATATAGCGAATTTTATTTCACATCCGCTCTCACAATCACCCAATTTACAGATTTACGATTACTGCTATCTGCAGTATCACAATTAGTACACTCCAAATGCCAGAATACAACTGACTAGTTGCTGGCTAACTCGGCGGTAGCTCCAGGACTCACTGACTGACTCAGTACAACTCGACTCGGCGACTGTTACAGTACAACAAACGTGAATAGCCTTCGCTGCTCCCTATGTAGCCCCAATCGGACAATACGGCCACGTAATAGGCACCCTTGTTGCTAGCCACGCTGTCCGGTTACGTCACCGCTGTTGATTCGCCTTGCATAGTTACCCGGTTACGGGGCTCGGCTATCTTCGGCTCCGCTCGGCTCTCTTCGGCTCCGCTCGTGACGTCACCGCGCATGGCTGCCAGGATGCGGGGTGATTACTCGCCTATTACGCGAGCGTTACGTTACCGCTACGTGCATATGGGGAGGTAGGGGTCAACATGTCACAATATTAACAAGGAAAGCAACAATAACCTGGATGAAAATGTCTACTTCCTTCTAGAAAATAATTAAAAAAAGAAAACAATAAATGGTTGACTTAGAGACAAAATATTGTCATATACCATAAAAGAAAATGAAAGATAAGATTCTGAATTCTCACCTCCGTGACCGTCATAAACACCGAAGAAAGCAGTTCCCGGATCATCTGGCAGTGACAGAATGTGAGTGTGGGAATCCTCCATGTTGATCCTCCAACCCTGCATGCAACTTGAGCCGACTTTCAAATGCGAATTCTGACAACATGCTGACTCTTTGGCCGTGACAGGTTCAGACAAAGTTTGACCCATGACCCTGAGCACAAAATAACATTCATTACTTAAAATATTTCCTTCTATTCAATAAAAGAAGACATTTTGGCTTTTTATTTCCAAACCCAGCACATCAGAACTGATTACTTATATACAATAATGACATCACTTCTGCCAATTGTTATGAGGGTCATCCAAGGAGTAGAGACTATTAGCACATGCATGCTACTGGCTGACTTTGCCTGGGACATTGCTTTCCATCCTCCCTACAGTCTGGATCTGGCTGGAAGTGATTTTCATTTGTTCACACACCTGAATCGTATTATTTTCACTTCTACGTGGATCGAATGAAAAGTAGGAATCAATGTTCAATCTAACCCTGCTTTATTAAGACTAACATTTCATACACAAAAAGTGTTTTATATATATTCACACACATAACCAAGTAACACGTAACAATAGAGAAATTCTGTTTTTACACACATAACCGTAGTAACACATAACAATAGAGAAAATAGGAACAACACAGTCTATTATTGAAAATTGTTTACTATGATGTTGTCAACTTTAGCATTATATTTTAACATTAGAGAGTTGCCAACATAACAGTTTTTGGGTGGCATGCGCATGGAAAGCAACGAAAAAGTGAAGAAGGGTTTAATGGACAGATTTCTACGATGCAGGTATGCAGAAACTGTCACACAACACAATCTTCATGTAGAATTATGTAGAATTATGATTTTAGGTCTGTAGTAAGATGTAAAATAAAATGTTTAAAATTTATTCATTTATTTCTTTTATTCATCATACAGTCTTTACATATTGGACAACCTACACACACACAATAGCAAAATACATTTGACAGCCTTTAAAAAAAAAGTGATTGAATCCTTCCAGCTGCATTACGGCCCTGGGGACGACTCAGCCTCTAACAGAAATGAGTACCAGGAATATTCTTGGGGGTAAAGGGCGGCTGGCACGTCAGGCTGACAACCTTTCTGCCATCTGTGAGCTGATTGCCTAGAAACATCTCACAACCTTATGGGCCTATAAGGCCTGTTACAGGGATACCTTTATTTTTTACACTGATATGCAGTCTACAGTTGCACTTCTTAATATGGTTGCTACAGGTACTGCACAGGTCAAGGGAATCTCACTGGGCAGGATGTTTGTATATACTACTGAAATTTTTACTGAAAACTGGAGCAGTCCCCCCCCCCCATCCACAGGCACTCAGGATCTTGATGTCTGTTCTTTGCCCATTCATCATTTCACTGTAATTCCACTGCTCAGTCACTGTACTGCCCTCTTCTTTTGTCTTCTCTCTGTCAGGAGTGAAATACACTTTCTCTAAACTCAACTGAACTGCCAACTGACTTACTACTCTACCTCACTACCTCCATTATCAGACTACACAATCACACAGCACTCTCTCTGCTTTACATCTATAAAGCACTTTCTACTTAACTCGACAAAGACTGGGTTCCCTCAAAAAATATACACTTACTTTTTACAGGTGCAGCCCATTAGAAAGTTTCTCATGGGTTCTTAGGTGACCTCGGTCACTGGCACTCTTTGGAATGGTCTCAAACAGGGGACTTCAATGGTTTGATCAAACAAGCCGCACATGCAGGCCAGACAACACAAAAGTCCCCCAATATTCACCCTCAATTCCTATTCCACTACTAAATGAGAAACGGACCTCAATGTTATATGTACAACACTTGAGATTCTCACAGCGGCAGACACTGAGACTACACAGTATTCTGTGACATGCCATGCAGCTTATCTGCATTTCAAAGGAACATACTGCCTCCATCTTCAGGGTATCAGTAAGCGTGGTCAAGCTAAGAAATGAAAATATCATTAAGTTCAAAACCTTAAATCTTCTTGCCTGCTATCTAAAAATGTGTAGATTAAAATATATAAAATGACAATTTTTCCTCTTCTTTTGTAAGGATGTCACCTGGTCTCTCACATTAAGGGATGAACATATGTTGTCAAAGTTTGAGAACAGGATGTTGGGGATTTTCACACTGAAGATGGATTGAATAATAGTAGGCTGGAGAGAAAACAGCACACATACTGTGTGAATCATGGTCTGAAGATTTTCATTTCATTTACGTGCTTCGCACTGAAAAGTAAATAAATACCTTGGGAATTTTTGTTAGAATTAAATAGTATGGGTAGTTTCAGACCCTGCAACTTACACACAGCAATTTTGGGATATGCATATAAACGTTTATAGTTTATACTGAATATATTTATTAGTATTATTCTAGTCATTTAAGCATTTTCTGTGATATGTTCAAACTGACATTGTCTAAATTTAAACTGCATGTTTCATCAAAATTAACTTATATGACTGGAATCTATTTGATTCTACATGTTTTGTTTCTGTTTTTGTATTTGTATTTTATACTTTTTTATTTATGTACTTAGTTCTTGCTCTATTAATTTTAAGAATAATCACTGTACGGACATGTCCTATATCTCACTTGTATTGTGGATCCATGGAACGAAAAATAAATGAATGAATGAATAAAGAATCTAACTTGAAGTCTGTCAAATATTCATAGTTCCTGGATTTACTGATACAATAAGGGAACACTCAACAAATGTTTTACATAAGCGAGAACTCTTCATAGCCACGGCTGTGAGAACCTAAAACCCGAATATTATAGTTTAATGTGCATCACATGATGCAAGCTCTGTTTCCTTTTTGAAATACGAACTAAATAACTTCAAATATGACTTCATAAAACTTTTAAAACTCGTACCTCACATGCACCAATAAATGGGAGACTTGAAACCTGCTTCCAAACTGGCAACACTTTTCGGCTCAATAACGTTGACAATACATATTATTGATGATCAATCCAAATCACATATAGCTGTAAACGCAAGTCACTGATCAAGAACTCAGAAGTTACAAATATTTTCCTAAACCGGTGATCGGCAAATATTAAACCCAGACGACCCAGACCTCCATCCTTAAAAACAAATCCTAAACGAAACTACTAGTTACAGCAACGAATAAGATCCCATTAACTTCCTCAAAGCCTTCATCGGGCTTAATTTACTTTTCAAAACAAGTGTCCATACCCAATATTGTTTACTTATAAAATTACAGTTTCTCTTCCTTTAATGATACCAAAATGCTTAGCACTCGAACATCGCCGCACATTCACGTTTGTCTTCTGTACGAAAAACAAGAGTGAAGACGCAGTTTCCATCTGTCGGTCAATATTTTTGGTGGGTAATTTAAACTTCGTCGTCAGCGTTCGTAAGACAAATTTCTCCTGTAGGTGAAATATATTTTTATTCATTAACATTGCACGTTGTTAAATAAGATTATTTACGCCCTGGTGGGGTTTGAAGTATTTCTCTGACTGTAAATTTTGTAGAAAGGAGGTTCTAACATCGGTAGATTTAAAGAATTCTATCTTCTGGGATAAAATGCCATGTCCCCTGGTGAATGACAACTAACGTTTCTGAGAATCATGTTGTCTCCATCTTCAGTGTTTAAGAGTAAGACAAGCAAGAAAACGCAAGAAGCAGGCGTTCAAAGAGATACATTTCGTTCAAAAATGCATTTTGTCAGAAAATACAAAAATATTTCTCACCTATTTTAGAAAACACTGAAGGTGCACACTACATATAAGAACACTTTTCTCATTTGTTTTTATTGTGAAATGTGGTTCTTTACTCTGGAGAAAGGACATAAATGACAACTGATTTAAAATAAGCGCTCAGAAAAATAATACTTTTTGTTAAGGTGAAGTAGGTTGGAAATCTATGACATTGTATAACGAAGACTTACACGGGTCACACGGACATTCTAGGGCAGTGAAATTAAGGAGAGCATGGTGATGGAAATGTAGCTTGGCTGTGGGGAAATAAGAAATGCATGTAAAATTTTACAAAAACACTTCTTGGAAAGTGGTCACCTAGAAAACTAAGAAGAAAATGCTATGATATATTATGATGAATCTTAAAGGGTATAGGTTTTGAAGGGATGGAGTGTGCATAGATATGCCTTTGGATTATGTTCAGTCTCAGTTTATGATCTTTCAGGTCCTGCTACCAGAAAATCAGACTTTACCTTTTCAACAAATTAACCCAAAATGTGTATTTATGTGCATGAACATATCTACTGAAAATTAATTAATTATATCTTAAGTATCCGGTGGAGTAGAGTTTGGTTTCATAAAAAGCTGAGCAACTATCAGGTTCTAAAAGACTCTGTTCCACGGAATTACTTTTCTTTATTCCTTCTTTCAAAGTACATTTTTCCCTCAGTGCCAAATAATTTGAATTACTGTCAGCCTCATCAAATAAACATGTCTTTCACTTTCTTCCCGATATGGAAGCGTAGATCTGTTTGATAAGAGACATAGCTCAAAAATCATTTCAAAATCACTACAATATATTCTGAATGAGGCACTCACAGTGCTATGACAAGCACAATCTTCTTGATTGTATGTAACATGTAGTTTTGTAGAAGTTAACCAATGTTTTGGAGGAATTGCTTATGGCCTGTTTCTTGCTTGCCTTACATTGGTCCTGAAGCTGAAAGTGACACATCCCTCTGTAACCCTGGCAGACTTCGATCGAAATACAGAGAATTGCAACCAAGAAGGCTGTACTCCTCTTACTGTGATGTTTATTCACAGACCTTAGAATGTTCACATGAATGGAATATAGCCACCCAAAATAGTGAATGGTTTATCTTCATAATACAGAACCTGCAGTTCTCACATCCATTTTTTATTATGCTTGTAGCAGACTTTCACTAATTAATTTTATGGTTTATTTAATGATGCTGTAACATTTATGTAGCATCGAATGTAGCCTGTTAGGTGAATAATGAGTTGAAAACGATGTGGAAGGTAATGGTCATGGCCTAATTTGAGGTAATACTCTGTCATATACATGGAACGCCTGGTGAAACCATATTTGCAATCACATGGTAATCAATTTATTTAATTATATCAATTATATTTAATCTGTCACTAAGTTCTGGCATTTTTCCAAATCAAATGAAGATTGCAAAAGTTTGACCTATTTTTAAGAAAGGTCATAAACAAAATATTGCAAATTACAGACCAATCTCAATTTTGTCTGTTTCTTCAAAAGTTCTTGAAACACTGATGTACAATAGGGTTGTAAATTTCTTAAATAGATTCGATCTGATATCAAATTCTCAAAATGGTTTTAGAAAAAATAAATCCCCATTTATGGCAATTCAAACTTTTATTGAAGAAATTCAGAAAACACTAGATAATAAACAACTGGCCTTTGGTATATTTCTGGATCTATCAAATGCTTTTGATGTTATTAATCAGAACTTGCTGCTTGCAAAGTTGGAACTGTATGGACTGAGAGGAATATCTCATGCATGGATGAGATCGTATCTTACGGATAGATTACAGTTTGTTGAAATTCACTATATGGATCAAAAGACTTCTAAAATGAAGACAGTTACCTCATCCCTTAAAGCAATTAAATATGGTGTACCTCAAGGCTCTGTTTTGGGACCCCTTTTATTCCTATTATTTATAAATGATCTGCCCCAAGTTATACATAATGCAGAGGTAGTACTATTTGCTGATGACACAAATATATTGATTACTGGAAAAAATATTTTATCATTAAATGAAAAAATTCAAAATGTAAAGAATCAAGTAGAAAAATGTTTTTATGAAAATCGTTTAATAATAAACATGGATAAGTCAAAGGTATTATTTTTTCATGGAATTAGATCTATTCCAAGTACCAAACCCCTTTTCTATATAAATAATAAGTAGGTGGTTTGTTCAGTGGATGTAAAATTTTTGGGTATTTGAATTACTGAAGATTTAAGTTGGGCAACCCACACCCAATATGTGTGTCAAAAAACTTAGCAAGACTACCTATTTGATAAAATCCCTATGGGACTCAAGTGAGCCAAACTGCTTTAAGAAGTGTGTATCTTGCAAAATTTCAGTCCGTGTTGAAATACGGTATTATTTTTTGGGGTGGGGTGAAAAAGGACTCTGAAACTCATTCATTCATTCATTCATTTCATTTCTGTTAATCCAGGCTGGTACAACCGCTGGATATAGAGGAAGTAAAAAAACATGCAGTCATAAAAAGATTTTGTCAAAATTAAATATACAAAATTGTAAGATTAACAAGCAAATATAAATATTACAAGGTAACAATTTAAAAAGTTATAAATATAGATCATATTTTGAATTAATAAACAGATAAAACAATTCAAATTATCTAACTTCATACATAAAAAGTTATCCACTATATAAAATGAAATGAAATTTGAATACCATATTAGCGCATCTATTACCGCACTCAAGTCATGGAGAGTTCAATCATTTTATAAAAGTGTGCTAATTAATAGAGGTACGACCACAAAACTACTTGAGCATAAAATAACTCTATTTATACTGCAGAAAAAATGTGTAAGGGTGATAAAAGGTGTTAAAAATAGAGTTTCTTGTAGAAATTTGTTTCATGAATTAAAGATTTTAACTGCTACTTCCTTATATATTTTTGAGATTTTTGAGACCCTGCTGTTCATGGCTATAACACTATTCATAAACACAATTTGTATGCACAATTTTGTAATACTGAGCGTAGCAAGAGAGGGGTGATTAGTATGGGAACCAAAATATTTAATGGCCTTCCAACTGAATTAAAGAATGTAATAAATTTTAATGTTTTTAAGAAGAAACTTAAGAATAATTTGTTGTGTAATGTCTTCTATTCTCTTCAAGAATTTTTTAATAACTGTTGACATAGACTGCTTGTTGATAAATCTGTCTGTATATTTTTATGCCTTTTTTGGAGTATTTATTATTATTATTATTAATTGTTGATGTAAACTGCTTGTTAATAAACCTGTCTATATGTTTAAAATATTTATTCTTATGTCTTTTTTTGGAGTATTTATTATTCTAAATTAAGTTAAAAATGTATTTTGAAATGTATTGTTGTATTATAGCGATGAATCACTGTGTGATTGTTATGTTATTTTTGATGTGAGGTTGTTGATATTTGACATGTCCAATTGTAATTCTCTACAGCTATGGATGAAATAAATAATAATAATAATAATAATAATAATAATAATAATAATAATAACAATAATAATAATAATAATGTCCTGGTCAAGATTTGAACAGGCACTACCGAATACAAGTCAAAAAGTGTTGTTATACAACAACATACATGTATATCCCATTCCATCCATCCAACAATTCTGACTTAACTCTTTTCTAATGAAACACGGACATATAAGTAAATAACGCTGGATTTGAAGCTTGCATATAATATTCATAAATTACAATATTATAACTATACGATGTTTAAGTCAAATTAAATATCTCTGTGATAATTTTGCTGTATTTCACTGTGAGAGAAATTAGTTCGATTAGCTGTAATCTGAGTTTCCAGCTACGTTTCCTCCTTTTGAAGTTTCAGTACGGGGTCTGAAGCCATGATGCGTGCCAATGCGGGCATTGGCGAACGGCGAACGCTGCGTTTTTTTGGTGTGTGAATTGTGATGGCAGCACCTTTGAAAGGATGGAGATATGTAGCATTTATAAGCGGAATTGTAGGTTTTATAGGAGTTGCTTTATACCCAATTATAATATATCCTTTACAAAATATAGAAACATACAGTAAGTAAATTTTATTTCGCTGATGTTTGATATACCGAACAAAGATTCCAATGTATGAAACAATGTTTATGGACGTTATACCGGCACTCCTAACCTCACACCTAGTTCAGATTGTATTTAAAGTTAAAATATATAACAGCATTGTAATCTACAAAATTTTCCTAAACTGTAGCCTGTTCGAATTAGTATATAATTTACGATGCTGTTACGGAAACTGTTCTCTGATTGTCATATGGAAGTATAGTAATATTGTGACTTCTCGAACTCTTGAACATTAACAGATCTTCCTCTGTTAACATCACGAAATATATAAGCCGACACAATTATAAGCACAGGAGAACCGAATTCTAAATTTCAAATACATTTTCAGCCCTACTTGGGCTGGGCTTTTATCAGGAGGAAAAAGAACCATCCCATCTATTCCGCAAAGTACCGAAGTCCTGGGTGTCTCCTTTTTTTACTGAGGAATCTGGTCTCTTACTCTCAGAAATGCTTTAAAATAATGTGCTCAGTTAAATATTTGTTCTGAAAGATGCAGTGGGAAATTTATGACATTACATTATATATATATAAAATAGAAATCACAATCATGATGATGCTGGCTGGGCTGTGTGGAAGCAAGAAATTCGTGTAAAATATGGTGAGGCAATGTATTAGAAAGTATCACATGGAAAATAAAAAAAAAGTAGATTTGTCTTGGATGAATCAGAAGGAATCAGCTGTGAGAGTGGGGGGATAGCATTGTCTTCGGATTGCTGTTTAATTCCAGTCAGTGATCATCAGGGTTCTGCTACCAAACAGACTTCACCTTTCCAACAGATTAACCATGAATATCCTTTATAAGCTGGCACATATTTGCTGAAAATTTGTTAAATCTTGTCAGTGCGGTGGAGTTCAGGCTGGGTCATGTATACACAAATTTTAAGACTGTGTATAATTTTGTATTTCAGAGAATATCCAAGCCAAGAATCGAGCAGACATCATTCAGGAGGATGTTCAGCCTGGCAGTAAGTTCATATATACAGATGTGGCAGTAATATAGTTTGTTGAGTGATTCTCTCTAATTTACTACAGAGCCTTCAACATAATATGAATTATGTGGTTTAACATGAAGGTTGCTATTTATATATGTTCTATTAAAATATATTTTTCTTTTCCAGATATGAAAGTTTGGACGGATCCATTTGATAGGAAAATTTAGATTCAGCTCTGAAATCACCAAAAAAAAACTATACAGTAGTCAGGATGAGTGTATGTACATGTCTGAAAAACATTTGTAAATAAAATTATTCCAATATATTTCATACATAAACAGAGGAGGAAGTCTAACTTAGCAAACAGAAAAAAAAAGTGTGTAATTTGTTCTGACATATAGTGTACACGTTTCATATATGATAAAATGCAGATTATGATAACCTGTGCAATCCCATTTTACATCCATCATTCTGGATAATTCAATCTAATAAGGGGAGAGGGTCAGTTTTTCTGAAAAGTGTCACCAATAAAATAAAAATGAATAAAAGGTCTGAAGTTGCTGACAGCTTCATAATACCAAAAATTTGAATATTACACATGAGATTAAAAGTTTTCATGGTGGTTCTGAGACATGACACTGTGAAGTCTGCTAGATTGTTACCAGTGTTTCAGAAAAATCTGAAGGAAGGAACATTAGATATGATTATAAAAGTACACAGTATCACAACCCAGAATGGGGTAACCTTCACCCTGTTCCAGCAGGCACTAACTGTCATCTGGTAACTGAGGATTTAAATATCTCACTACTGTGGCACCAGTAACATTGTAGCTGTCACATTCATTCATTAGCTGTTGTACATGGGTGTACTTGACATGCAATTATGGACATTTGTGATTCTGCAATTACATAACTAATTTATGTATGACTACACGTACAACCAAGAATTAAAACTGTCTCTATTTCTCCATTTGTAGAACAATGTTAAAAGAGGAAGTCATGCCCACAAACCCATGAATAATGATGGTAAAAAGGGTGATGGAAAAATATAACAGTTCAGAAAGAAACATTGAGAATGCTTTCATTATATTTTTTGTTCTCTTTTTTTCTTTTCTTTTGTAGAACATTTAAATATAAACAGATGTAGTTCTCTTACAAAACACACAACATAACAAACATGTACACACAACAAATACATTGCAACAGAGCTAGAACCTTGTGCAAATTATCGTTGTTATTCCAAACATTTGACTTCTTGCTACAAGACATTAAATCACAATACGGATCACAAGTAAAAAAATAAGACAATGCTCTTCTGGTACTTCCCCACACAACAATGACTGGTTTTGCCACAGCCTCTGGCAATAAAATAAGAAATGTTTATATATACAAACACACAATACAAAATGTTTACAAAATTAGTAAATTATGAACGACTACAAATTTGTTTTCATTACTGTTGGCAATAATGCATAATCTTGAATGCTCAGTTAAAATGCAATATGATCAGTATTTTCCAGTTATTGTTTATTGCACAAGTAGACTTTTTAAAATATCAGTTAATGTGTAAAAATTTACAGTCTGTGTGGCTTAGATATATTTTTCAGGAACCGGCATAAAAAGGGTTCAACAAACGTGTTTCTTGATTAATAGACTATGGTCATGCAGTTTCATTAGCGCTTCAAAGTGACACTGACTTGCCTTACACAGGCAGATGTCAGATTCCCGTGTCTAACACGTTTTGAAATTCCATAATTTTATTTTATTTACTTCCTGTAAGAGGAATCTATAGTTAATCGGTTAACTACAATAAAATTTTCAAAGATAACGCTGAAAATAAGAAGTAGCAATGCACTGAATAACAGAGTATATTTATCTTCCTGCGATATTCCCACTTCAACATGAGTCATTTAACAGAGTTCATAACAAATGCTCCACATATAGGGTTATTACAAATGATCTTTACACTTTTGCAATTGTACTTTGAATAACGTCAGCTACCCACACTAATGAAAGCTTTTGGACACAGTGAACAACATTCAATGCTTGTAATTCACAGCCCACTAGATGGACTAGATGGACTGCAGTGGCAGTAGCAGAGGACGGAAATGCAGGAACTTAAGGTGATTCCACTGCTTGAACAAGACCTCGGAGCCTTTATGATCTTGACATTACAATGCACCTTCCCATTTACATTACAGTGTGCCAGATTATCTCAGTGGGACAAGATGTGGTAGAAATAAGCCTATGGAGTGACCTCCCACTTCTCCAGACTTCACTCTGCCTGCAAATATCATTGAACTCAGAATTTCAGGTACACAAGAACCAGTTGATATTAAAACGTTACACAACACGTGAAGTGAGATATCATCCTTTTGATGTGCGTAGTGACCAATGATTCTCATGTTCAAAAGAGATAATAACAACTCTGAATGTTGTTCACAATGTCCCAAAATTTTCATTAATGGGAGGCCACTTAGGTTACTTAAAATACATTTTCAGAAGTTGAAAGATCATCTGTATACCTCATTCAATTTCTTGCTCCAAAATGAATACAGGAAAAAATACCATATCAGCCCAATGGTATTTAAATGTTAACATGGCCTTTGGGTTGAAGGATGAGTCCCCAAACTGGTCCATATTCACACACTTTCAGATGTATAGCAGTGTGAAGAATATTTTTAATCTTTTTTTTAACATAGCAGCCTGGATGCATTTAGAGATACCCTTTATGCAACAAGAAGAAAGCTGCTGTATACATTATGCCTAAAATTGACGATGAAATAGAATGGAAGACTACTAGAACTGGACTGATGATATATTTTATTTTCTCCTTCACATGTACACATCTGAAGTACATTACAGTTATAATGGCAAAATTTAAATAAAAAAAAAGTGCAATATGACAGGCAAGATACAAATTATGGAAATTTTAATGAAGATGGATTAATCATGATTCTTGGATCATAACTTATAAGACAAGCATGGCATTTCAGGAGTTACTGGAGAGAAATTTTGATATCAAATGTCAAGTCTGAAATGGTATTAAGATTACCCATCTGAAATCCCAACCTGGAACCGGTATGGCTTCTTAAATTCTCTGTTGTAGCCTGGTCCTATAAATAATTGGCTTTTTGCATCATCCATTATGGCCCCACACTGAACTTTGTATGGCTATTTAAATTCTGCATTCCAGTCCTAATTTGGACTCTGGCCTTTTAAAGTTCTTCATTTCTATTGGAAAAAACACCATGATTTTTCTGCAGAAATATGATTCAGCCTAGTGGGACTGAATGGCATAAAAAGAATTGGACCTTAGAGGGTTAAATAGACAGTTTCGAACATCCATCCAACTGACAGGCCATGTTTAACCGCTAATTTCAATTTCCTGGAAATTCTGGTGGTGTTACAGCAAGTATGGCTTCAGTGTTGCCAGTACGTTGCCATTTTCTTGCAAGCACAGAAGCACCTGATAAACAATAAAAAAACAAATATTAATCTACATAAAGGAAATAAAAAAGTGAAGAACACAACACAGTAGGGAACTATCATCTCATATCTTAACTATTCATTATTTCGCTATCCAATTCACTCTATCTTAAATAATTGTAAACATTTATTTTAATCTATCTCCAAGTTTCTTCAGTTGTCTCCTACTACTCACTATTCTACCAGTGCTTCACACTAATCTACTGCTGCCCCCTAACCAGGCACCACTATATCACATCCTTTGAGCTCCATCTCTGACCCAGCAGTCCAGTTACAGAATATGGAAATAAAGTTTATAAGTCAGGAAGTCCTTGAAATAGTGTACAGCATCCATTTTCCTTCAGTTGCCTCAGTTAATATGGTGAGGCTACCAAGAATTACAAATTAATAATTATAATACAGTATGAGCCAAAAATTTCAGTACTGAAACTAGCACATCTCGAACACGCATGTGTGTTTGTCAACGGGGCACAGCTCCAGCCACATGTGTTCCCGGTAGTGAAAAGGAAGTTGTGTTGTGCAGTTGTTGTTGGAAATGGATCTCTAAACAGAGGAAAAAGCATTCATAGTAGAGTATTATTTCTGCTCATATGGAAGTGGTCGCCAGACAACTCGCTTCCTTGGTTTTCTGTGGTAGATGTTATTGTCCAGAAACCGCTACATAGTACATATGTGACGATATGGTGTGCCGTCTCAGCACACGGTATATCAGGTCTCTATTTCATTGAGGATGAGGAAGACAATGCTCTTACCATCACCCAAAAACGCTGACATGGTGATTGGACCATTTCTTCAGGATTTGAGAAGGTTCTGTTGTGCAAGGGGCCTTCACATGAATAGACAGTGGTATCAATAGGACGTCTTTTCATTTCAGTACTATATATTTTGGCGTATACTGTATTTTCAAATCCATTTCTATATTTAATTTCCTAAAATAACTTTTAACTTTCACTCTACTGTCATACTTGAAATTGTTAACATATACAAAACTGACTCACAGGGATTATGTAGGCTGTTTATCACCTAACTCCATGGAAAACATCACATTGGTTCACTAGTTATCAACACAAAAACACAAAGCTAAATATGTTTTCTTGTTGTCATGTTTTATGGGGGAAAAATTACTTTAACAAAATATATTTTTTGAACATTATTAGCAGACAAAATTTCAGACTCTCAAAGTACTTAACACCAGTGTCTCACCTACCTAAAAGGTTCATGTGGCCATCATCTTGATATAAAACACAACAGCAATAATGACACAAAAATCATTTCAGTTGTTTGCTGATATGTATCAGCTTGGTTTTCAGTCCCCTATTGTCTAATGTACTTTCTATTGGAAATGGCCATGACAGGTTTCAATGTCATCACAAATAATACAGATGAACTTAATTGCTTGTAAAGATACCTTAATCTAGTTTGTGTTAAATACAGTTTGTGGCACGAACTCTTCAGTATTCATCATCGTCACAGACATCAAGGTACACATCAAATGATTCTCGACTGCAGTTTCCTTCTTGACTGAACACATATTTGTGAAACGTTCCATCCAGACAAATCGCTGAAATAGTACACAAATGAATATAGTGGAACACCAAATAATTTTCCTTTGGTGCACAGTAGGTCTAAACACCAATTAAATACAGTCCCCAGGCAGACATCATAGAAATGTAACAGTAGGCTTGTTAGTAAAACATTAAACAGAGATTTTTTTTTTATTGCTAGTGGGGTGTGACTAAGTCCCTTGTACTGCGGCCACTTCTGGCCTAATGTTCAGCCACAGATGATAGGTGAGGGTGATTGTGGAGCAATTGGTGGAATGAAGATTGGCAGGGGAAACTGAAGTACTTGGAGAAAACTGCCCCAGCACCACTTTGTCCACCACAAATCCCACTTGACCAGACCCGGGATCGAACCTGGGCCGCCACGGTGGGAAGCCAGTGACTAACTGCTTGAGCTATAGCGCAGCCCACTAAACAGAGATAGCTTAATGTTCTGCACATGGTTGGATGTGTTATGAAACATCAGGAGGACATTTTGAGACTTAAAATCAGCGCTGCACTACAGCAAATGCAAACTATACATTGCAACGCCATAGTCAGTTAGTTTGAAGTATTGTATATTTTGCTGAGCAAGTTGGCTCAGGTAATAGCACTTCTGATTTTTGTTCAGGAGCCTGCCAATTCGATTCGTGGCCAGGATACTGACTATATTGACTGAAGGTTTTTATGGGTTTCCTCAGTCTCTCCAGGGAAATGCTTGGATAGTATTTAGATTAGGCCACAACTGGTTCCTTTGACATTTTTTCAAATTCATTACTCATTAATCATCATATTATTCTATGCTATAATATGAGTTACTGATATTGTCATTAAATAAAGCATAATAATAAATTAAATAGGAATACCAGTAGGTACGACTCATGATTGCACTAACATAATGTAGCATGAAATGGAGCAAACAATATATGTGTGTTATCCTAAGTAAAAATCTCCCATTAGATCCCTTTCCCAGCTCTAAAAAATATACTGATTTTCTCACTGATAATATTTTTGTTAACATAATATATACTCTTCTTGAAACTTCTTTTGTTGTCTGCTAATCAAGACTAGTTCTTTCTAACGGGCGCAAGTGAGTATGAAACTTTCCTCCCTTACACCTGATAATGTAAACATCCAGTTTCCAAAACACTGTATCTGAAAAGAAATTCAAGATGATAGATAACATAAGAAGTAAAGGTCATGTTTATTGTAACACACGGATTTTTTTCAATTGACCTAATCCTTCCGGCCGCACTATGGCCCTGGGGTTCACTCAGCCTCTAACAAAAATGAGTACCAGGAATTAAATAAATAATTTTCCTGGGGAGTAAAGCGCGGCCGGCGCGTAGGGCTGACAACCTTACCGCCAGCTTTGAGCCGATTGTCTAGATAGTGTGGGACCCTTAACGTCTCACAACCCTATGGGCCTTCATGGCCTGTTACAGGGATAGCTTTAGTTTACTTTACTTACTTACATTGTCAGAAATATCATTTATACCTAAAATTGCAGTTGTTTAAACATCTTACCTATGACAGCATTTCCTGACCCAAATGCACATATACAGGCACATTCAGGAGGCACGGTGAAATTGGCTAAGGCCCACTGAGACTCTACATAATTGCCCAAGATACCACTCATTCTGGAAAACCTACATAACAGAAAATACTCCTTTTCTGGAACTGATTTCATAATATAGTGACAAACGTATCAGCAGATCAAAACAAAGATGGCAAATTGTTATTCTTTTCAGAATTACTGGGGTTTCAGACTTTGTCCATTGTCCAGTATTCTAGAAACTGGACAAAACGTTTCAGAAACAGATTCAGTTTCCGAAACATTGTGATTTCTAGTTCTTAGAATACTGGACAATGGACAAAGTCCAAAAAACCTAGTAATTTTGAGTGTTATACATCAGAACCCTTTAAAATCTACTTTTATTCTTTAATTTATTTTCTGTGAAAACTTCAAACGTATATGATAAAATGTTATCACTTACAATTAGTCTGGATACAAGCTTGCCTGAAGCACAAGGGATGATACAGAAATATGGATGCATATGATCATTTTGTAGTACTGTATATAGTGAGTTGTAACTGTTAACTAACCCATCACTTTACCATAGGTAATTATTAAAAATACTTCAAGAATAATTAAATGAATTCTGCATTACTTACGTGGATCTTCGATTTAAGTGAGTGTCCTTCAGAGCAAATATGTGTATTGTTCCTTTGTCACTTGAGCAACACAGGAAGTCGGAACTCATGCTGAAGTTTATGCTGTCAACAAGGAAACTTAAATAAAACTAGGCAGAGTCAACATACATACACATCCGTTTGCTAACTAACTCCACGGAGCAGGGTCCTTCATGAGAAGCTAAGATTTACTTAGCTAGTCAAATTCCATGCATTTTATTGAATCTGAAGATTCATTACTGTGTTCACAAGAGTACAGCTTGGTCCCTATCTCAAGCCAGATGAATCCAATCTACACACTCCCATCCTCTTTCTTTAAGATCCATTTTAATATTATCCTCTCATCAATGCCTATTCTTTAAAGTGTCTCCTTCAGGTTTTCCAATAGAAACGTATGTACTTCTCTAATATTTGTGTTACATGCCTTGCCCATCTCATCCTCCTTGATTTATCTGATGTAATAATATTTGGTGAGCGACGCAAGTTACAAAATTCATCATCATGCAGTTTTCAGACACTCTGCATCTATATCCTTCCCTTAATGTGAGAGACCAAGTTTCATACCCACACAAAACTACATGAAAAATTACAATTGTGTACTTAATCTCTTATGTTCTTAGACAGCAGGTGATAATTCATAAGATTTTGAACTGAATGGTAGCAGGCATTCCAAGAATTTAGTCTGACCTTAATTTCTTTACAGATTTTTTTTTTTTTGCTGTCATTAACAAATATTTTAACTTTTCTGCATTTTCAAAGGATCTAGTTTAGGTTATGGCCTTTGTCCTGCACTCTAATGATAAGACATGGATATTTACCTATTTTCATTGCATCTGTTTATTTAAGAATAAAATTATCGTCACTATCAAATTACCTCACTTTTGTAGTGAGACACTTTGACTTTTCTAAATGACATACACAGGAGGGCTCACCAATATAGGGTGGCAGGATCTGAACCCCTCCTTAGCTCAACCAGCTGAACTCTCTTTGATGTGTCCCAGACTCGTATCAAAGTGCCTTTAGAGGAAGCTGTTGCTACCATGGTGCCCTGCTGATTTATGGCCAGGCATGCTAGTTCACCCCGGTGAGCATTGATTGTGACAGGGGCACTTGACATGCCAACTTCGGTGTTGGCCAAGTCCTGGGTAAAGTAAACAGTATTACTGTCTATACTAAGAAATGTTACAATGAAATCCTATTTGATGTATCTATGGTAATCAAGGGTCTTGAATGTAAAAACTGGACAAAAATCTTGACCTCCATGCTGTTTGTAATTTTCAAATAGTTTTGTAAGTCTGTTTCTATGCATTCCACTGGCTTGCTGAATCCAGTTGGTTTCATGTTGCAATATGACATTGCTAGGCAATGGCCAGTAAACATGTTAATGATACCCAGTCCAGTGGAGCAATGAGCTGTGAGAGAGTTGCCAGCAGATAATGAAGTTAATGGAAGCAGAGAATTATCTATTATTGGGAGCCGATTCCAGGCAATGGCTAATGAAGACATAGAAGACTCAGTGTTTGCTGTAGTGAGAAGCAGAGTGTGTGAAATAGTGAGAGCATATGATTATTTGTAGTTAAGATTTACGAGTCCAATAAATCTGATGACCAATCCAAACCCCCACCCCCCCATCTACTGTAACACGTAACAATATTTAAAAATTCTATCCTATATTGGTTCTGATTTTTATCATTTAATAGTTCTTCATTTCTTTTGTGATCCACTAAAAAGTACTTTGCAATTCATCCCATCAACAACTGTAACATTACAATACATGTGCAATATTTATTATAAACCTGACTGGTATGGTAAAGTTGTGCCTGTGCTTAATTAGGCACCATGTCATGAACACAAATTGGGGTCTCGAGACTTAGCTCCATGGGAGATGAGTGCTTAGCTTCATGCCCCAACCTCTTTATCTCATGTACCCACTGAGTTGAGGCTAGGTAAACCCCACAGCCAGTTGCCCCACAATACTAGAGAAAAGGGAAATATTTCTGCCCCTGACAGGACTCAAACCCCAACTTCCATCTGTTTAGTCACCATAAGTACAAAATAAGCTATCCTGGATCCTAAAATAGACTGGACTGGCAACTAATCCTACAGAACTGTAGAAAGTGCCTAATATGTAGGTTATTCAATAATTTGGGGGGGGGCAGGCATAAATTGCAAAAATTATACTACAACAAGTGATTTGTAATTAATTTAAATGGTTTTTGCAACTGTTCATATTCAGTTGACTGAAGAAAATTATGACGAGAGAGAGAGAGAGAGAGAGA